AAAACAGAAATAATACCCGACCAGAGGAGAATGGTCGTGTAGATTAAGCCAGGTCCACTCAATGGAATGTTCTGTGTCTGTTCAAAAATGGTGCCTACAAAGATTATTGACTTAACACGATTTGATTGGAAAAAGCAGCAACTTGAGGAAGCTCGAGTCAAAAAGAGAATTACTTTAAACATCAGAGGAATTTCCCAGAATTCAACTGCCAGCAAGCAGCATGACTGGGAGATACACAACCTGCCAGGTCCTCAGGCAGCGCATATGAGTTATTCACTGCTCCATAACAAATATCTACTCCCAACATTTAGTGGTTGAAAGCAGCACTTATTATCTCACACAGTTTCTGAAGGTCAGGAAGGGAGGGTCTCTCATGACCTTCAAGTCGAGATGTCAACCCGGGCTTTAGCCTTCTGATGGCTGGACAGGATCCTTGGCTGAAGGGCCCACTGTAGATCACGCACTTGGCTGCTGGCAGGATGCTACAGTTTCTTGTGGCCACTGGCTGGAGGCTACAGTTCCTCCCCATGCAGGCCTCTCTCCATCGGGCTGCTCGTGACAGGATAGCTGACCTTCCCAGAGTAAATGATCTAAGAGAAAGAGAGAAAATGACCGAGAGGAAAACTGCAGTCTTCTCTACCCTATTCTAGGAAGCGATACCCCCACAGTTCTTTCCTATCTTATTGGTTCACAGACCAACCCTGGCACAGCGTAGCGGGGGAGGACACATGGGCGCGAACCACCAGGAGGACGGGTCCCTGGGGACCACTTTCAAGGCTGGCTAATACATGTACATGGAAAATTTTATTCTATAACAATGGTTTCAATAGTGCATGACTTTTTAATATGCAAATCAAGCAAGGGAGAACATAGTCCAAAAGAAAGCCTTCTTTGTAAAATAACTTGCTTCTGATTACTTCTACTGGGTAATACAGGGCCTAACTGGGCCAGAGCTGGGACTAGACACATCTAGCACATGAGGTTGAGCTCTGATTACTTCTACTGGGTAATACAGGGCCTAACTAGACACATCTAGCACATGGGGTTGAGTGATACTCAGCACACGGTTATCCATGAGCAACCACCAGGTCACGCGATGGTGGCAGAACCAAGCACACATGGGTTCAGACACACATAAGACACAAATGGCGGACTAGAGGCAGGTACCTAATGGAAGCCAAGAAGAACTGTCAGGAGCCAAAGGAGAAACTTTGTAAGAGAATGCAGAGGGTGGGGTGGCAAGCCAGACTCGGCAGCAGGGGACCCAGGATGGAGAGAGTCTTGGTTCTGGATACATCCTGCCCACTGGTTCCTGGACCTGCTGCAGTCCAGCCACCAGCCCCAGGGGGAGGGGGCTGAGCGTGAGCAGAGGGGGCTGCCCTGTAAGATGGCGTAAGCAGCCCTGCTGGGGGACCCCACCTTGAGAAGCATTCTTCCCCTTGTTTACCACAATGAGTTCCTCTGGTGACTAAAGGACCGAGAACCTGGAGGTCGAGGGAGGTAGGACTGGGTGGGACAGGGCCGTGATGGAGAAGTCGAAGGCAGTGACAGCAGTGGTGACTGATGGGGACAGAGGACAATGCAGGTGGCTGCCTCCTCCAATTCATCTGCACAGAGGATTCACCCACATACTTGCGAGGGGAGAGGAACTCACCCAGGATGTGGGGTTCTTGTGGGAAAAGGTGGGGGCTCGGAGCCAGCAAGATGCAGATATTTACATTAATGCTACCAGCGAAGCTTTCATCATTTATGGTCCTTCGAACCATAATGGTCCAAATCCCAACTGAGGCTGGAATCCCTTGTCCACACATCTCCACCAGGCACTCAAAGGCTTACCACTCCCAGCAGCGGTGGCCTCGCTCCTCCCTCGGGAATCCACTCCATAACAAGACAGCTCTGATACACAGGAAGTTCCTTAAAAACTTGAGACAAACATCTGACTCCCTGTAGGCCCCCCACTTGGCCTCGGTTCTGCCCTCTGGTGCCTCACAAAAGAAATCAGGACCCTCTCCGCCATGGCCCAATGATCACCCCTCTGCATTGTCCAGGTCAGCAATTCCCAGCACAGCATGGGCCCTCAGAAACTATTCATTTTCCAAAACTGCAGCAGGAGCCATATTGAATACCAGTACACACCTATTCGGATGGCCAGAATTAAAAAGACCAACCAGACCAAGTGTTGGTGAGGCTTTGGAGCAACTGGAACCCCCCTGCCCTGTCGGTGGGGATGTGAACAGTACAGTCACCTTGAGAAATAGTCCCCATGACCCAGCCTTGCATTACTAGGTATTCATCCAAGAGAAACAAAAATATATGTCCACACAGAGACTTGGACATCAGTGTTCCTTTGACTATTTATAATAGTCAAAGGCTGGAAACAACCCAAACGTTCATCCACAGGTGCATGGAAAATAAATGGTAGCCTATCCACAGCACAGAATACTATCCAGCAATGAAAATCAACGCAGGACAAAATAAATGAACCTCAAAAAGATTATGCAGAGTGAAGGAAGCTAGACACAAAGTCTATGTACTGTGTGATTTCATTTATATAAACTTCTAGAAAAGGCAAAGTGATCTATCGTGACAAAAAAAACAGATCAGTGTTTGCTGAAGGATGGGAGTGGAGGGAGGGATGGGTGGCTAAGAGGAAGGAGGAAACTTTGAAAAGTGATTGAAATATTAGCCATTGACTGTGGTGGTTGGTACTGTCACCCGGGGATACATCTGTCAAAACTCACCAGATCGAGTACTTCACGTTGTACAGATTAAATGTGTACAATGTAATTCAAGTTGTTTCTTTAAAACTCTAGCCTGCCATCCCTTAATTGAGTGAGATAACAAACTGTAGCCAAGCTGAAGGCCTTCGGGTTCTGCTGCGACGGACCCTCTGTGATTACCACATGGGTAGGCCCAACCAATGCTAACTGAGCGCCAGCTCCCACGCAGGTTCAATCCTTATTCATTTATGACACCGGAAGCTTTTTTTCCGGTACTCACCAAAGGTCATTCACGGCAGGGCCAGGAGTGAAGCCCAGGTCTCCTGATTCGCAGGCCTCCTTCCTCGCAGCATAAGAAAAAATAAAAACCAAGGCCGTGGAGTGCTTCATGGTTCTCCAAGCTGCTTGACATCTGTAATCTCATTTCCTGGATTAATCCCATTTAACACAGTCGACTGTGTAATGGATAAGACGGAGCGGGGAGAACATACAGCTTGTTGATTTATGGCAGGCATCTATTCTGATGGCTCTGGGCCCAGGCCGGGTGATTGTCAAATATCTCGAATAACCCTCCCGGGTTAAGCATTCTGGGCTCTGGAGTCAGACAGACCTGGGCTGGAATCCAGGACTACCACGGACTAGTGGAAGACCTTCGGCAAACCATTTAACCCCTCCAAACCTCAGTTTCCTCCTCTGTAGAATGGGAATAATAGCAGCAACTGCCTCATAAAGCTGCTGGGAAGATTAAATGGGATAACAGCATCCGGCACAAGGCAAACACTCAAAGTCTGGAAGCTGTCGTTAGCACCATTATAACCAGCACTCTTCCATTACATTAGTACCCTTATGAAGTAGGTCCCCTTACTAGCCCCATTTTACAGACAAAGAAACTGAGGCTCAGAGAGGCAAAGCGATTTGCCCAAGGTGACATAGCAAATAAGCGGCAGAGCCAGGATTGACCTCCAGTCCCCTGTATGGCTCCAAAGCCCACTCTGGCTCATATGAGCCACCTGCTAGATTGGCAGCAGGTACAGCAAGGGTTTTAAGAAGGGAAACTATGATCAAAGTCCCCTTGAAGCCCACTGGTTACAGTTAGAACTGAAGGAAGTTGAGGCCTCACCAGGCAGGTGTGGCCAAGATTAGATCAGGACCCCACACTCTGCCAATATGAAAAGCAAGACAGCCTGGAGAATAGAGACCATGAGGAGGGGTGGGTCCCAAACCCCAACATATGCCTGAGAGGGACCAGGCCTGCTAGTTCCACTAATAGTCAACCAACCAAGTCAGCGGAGCTGCACTCACAACTGCCATAGGGTCGGTGCGTAACTCTGGGCAGGTCTCCACCATTGGAGGGCCCCACACCCAGCCATAAGCTAAGGGCACTAGATAAGATGACCTGCAAAGGCCTGTCCAGCTCAGACCACCTTAGTTTCCAATTGCCAGGAATACCTGGGGTGTAGGTGATATCCACCTCCAGGTGGGAAGGGACCTTTGAAATACAAAGAGATGTCCCAAGGAGAGCCCTCTGGAGGAGGTCCCGGCCCCGGCAACAAGTCACCGATGATCCAGACAACGGCCTAGCGGAGGAAAAGAACATGGTTTTAGAGAGAGCAGACCTGGATTCGAATCCAGCTCTGCTATGCACTAGCTCTGTGAGCCTGGGTATCTCACTGCCTGCCTCTGAGCCTCAGTACCTTTATCTACAAAATGAGGACGATCACACCAGCTTTATAGGGTTGTGTGGCCCTTAAATAAAAACATTTCTCTAAAGCACCTGTAAATACTCAATAAATGGTGGCTGCTTTCATTGCTGTTCCCCACCTTTGCCATTGGAAGTGGCCTTCATGCCACTTGCCCAAGGGTCTGAGTCCCAGGTGCCAGGGAAGTCTACCTGGAGTTCTTCCAAATTCCAGACCACAACCCTTCCTGCTGCTACTGCTTCTTAAATTCACGGACCTGGAACAGGATCAAGATCAAAACTCAAGGAGAACTCAAGTCCTAATGTCTGTGACAGAGGCTGGAATCACAGTCACTTGGGATGGGAGTATCAACTGGGAGTATCAACTCAAGGAGTGCCTGGATCCCAGCGATGGCCACACAGTTGTTTATATGTTTCCCCAAACATCCAGGCACACGTGTGGGCACATCCATGAACACGTGCACACCCATGCACTCAAGCAGCACTGCCCAGATGACAGTGCCCACAGACAGGCACCCCCACAGTGGACACCACAGCCCGCCTGCAGACGTGCCTCCCTGGGCTCGGACACAGATGCACATGTAACTCACCCTCACACCCAGTCATCCGCATGGAGCCATGTGCCCACTTGAGCATATGCACACATGGTCTCTGTGCACCAGGGCATCTGCAGCAGGAGTTGCTGGAAAGATATGGAAAGTCGACAGCTGCTCTGATGACACAGGGACTAGCCAGCTCCCCACCAGGATTTCCGAAAGGGAGGAGAAACTTCATCACACCTGTAGCTGGGCTGTTGGAGTAATCCCTGGCCTCCGTGCTGCTTCAGCAGATTTCTCATTAAGCCAGCAGGTCTGTAGCATAGCCTGTGGCACCAGGGGACCTGGAGAGAGGAAAAGCCAGAGTCCCTAGGTAGCTAGGATAGGGGAGCCCTGGTGGGCAGGAGTCTGGATGAGAGTACTAGGGTCTTTGTGGCAGGATGGCATTGCGGTTACACAGGTAAGCTTTGGAGCAGGAGGTCCCTGCTTTGTCCTCCAGCTCTGCCATTTATTAGCTGTGTGACCCTGGACAAGTTACTTAACCTCTCTGGACCTCAGTTGCCCACCTAGCAAATGGAGTTGATAATATTACCTAGTAGGATAACACTACATGGTAGGAATGAGGGAGGAGAAGTAGAGAATTGAGGAGTTAAATGACACCACACATGCCCCTGGGCACAGTAAGCACTCACCAGTATGAGTCATTTTTATCAAAGGCCCCAGGACAGGAAGGGGCCCCTAGATATCGGGTAGCCCATGGATTGCAAAATGACATCCACAAGCCCAAATGCAGCCCACAAATGGGCTTTGTTTGGCCCACATGGCATCTTTCTTTCTTTCTTTTTAAATTATTGCCAACATTTAAAAATCAAATTTCACATCAAAATCCAAATTTTCTGCTTCTCTGGAAAAGTTCAAACATTTGGCAACCCTAGGCTCTCATTCCCGCCTGGTAACCACCAGCCAGAGCTGAGTAGCCACTGCCTGGCTCACCCACCCTAGCCCTCCCCTGTTCCCTGTCCAGCCCTGGGACCACTGGCGTTTGCACCCCCTGACCTGGTCCTGTGCCCTCATGACGCACATGGGGGATTGGGGCTCTAGAGGAGCCAAAATCCCACCCAGGGCCACACAGCAAGTCAGTGGCAGAGCTGGAATTAGGGCTCAAGTCACCAGAGTCCCAGTGCTTCCTGAGCACCAGGGAGATGCCGAAGAGAGAACTTGGCCATGGCCCCAAAGCTCCTGCATCTATAGCCCTTACTGGGGAGACAAGGTCATCACTGGACACGTGACTTACTTCTCTGACCCTCAGTTTCTTCAGCTGTAGAATGGGATAATAGTTCCTTCCTCAGGATGACTGTAAAGACAAAATAAATTAAATAAGTAGGAACCTTAGAGCAGCAGCTGGCTCACAGTAAGTGCTTAATAACTAGCACCCATCATTACTGCTATCGACGACTCCTGGCGTGATGCATGCACTTGACCTCACTGACTCCTCAAACCAGCTGGGATGTCGCTCCACTTAGCCCCATGTGACAGATGAGGAAACTGAGGCCCAGAGGGCGATAGTAACTCATTTCATCCTCCCCAGGCACCTGTGAGCTACAGCTCACTATCCTTATTTGTCAGGTGAGGACACTGTGGTTCAGAGAGTGGCAGGGACTTGCCCGAGGCCACCCTACTGATGGAGATGGGAGCAGGCCTAGAACTCCAAACCGAACTCTAAGCCAGGCTGTCTCCACGCACCCTGTCAGGAAATAAACCAAGTCCCTTGGCCTTGCTATGATCAGAGTAGGGACCAAAGGGTCATTTCTCAGCCCAGGGAGTCCTCTTCCTGGGGCAATAAGACTCTTAAGGCTCCTATTCCTGGTAACACCTAGCTTCCAGCCCATGAACACAGACATCCCCAGCGCGCACACGTACACAAGCACACGCACACATGCACACACACACACACACACACACACACACAGATTCCTATGCACAGATGCACATGCACACGTACACACACATGTACACAGCAGCCCAGCCAAGAAGGGCTAGGGCAAGGGCAAGAGACGGTCAGGAGGAAACGGTGCTCTCCATAGGTAATGAGCTTCCAGACACCAGGTAGCTGTGGCAGGTGCTCCTCATCTCATTGAGGGGTACAACGCATCACCCGGGCCAGAAGACTGGAAGCACCTCAACTCTCATCTCTCCCACCCTCCCCACTTCTGATCTACTGCAAAGCCCATCCTCGCTCTCACATCCATCCCTGTCTTCTACCCTGGCTCTAAAGACAAGAATCTTTCCTGCTCTCGTGTCCCTCACTGCACTGCCACCACCTTATACAGGAGAATCAAGACTCAGGAGAATCAAGAGGTGGCAGCTCCTGGGGACTTCAAGGGGGGCGGGGGGAGGGAGGAGGTTGCAAACTAATTTAAAGCAAGACCAGAGCATTGGTACAGTGATGTCACCAACCCAGACCTGCTGTCAGACACCAACATCCCCCTTACACACACACACACACACACACACACACACACACACACACCCCTCGAGTTCCCATTTCATGGCTATCAGGTTGCAATGACGCTGCTCCAAGACAAAACAGGAAATCCCACAACTGAGCCAGCCAGATGGGGCCAGAGGCTGAGAATCTGAAACTCCCTCTGCTCTCCAAGATCACCCTGCATCCCCACCTCCCACAAGCTGGAGCTCAGCTGCAAGGACTCTCCTTGGGGAGGAGCTCACCTCCCCACCCCAGGTGCTGACAGAACCCAGTCTTGGACTCAGGACCCCAAATTCCCGCTCTGTGCAAGCTCCCAGCCCCACACCGGGCCCCCTGTCTCCATCGGTGAGAGGTGAGTGGATGAGCTCTAAGCGTTCTCCCAGTTTAGATACTCCACCTTTTATGGACATTTGGTTCCCAGACCCAGTGACTGGGTCCCTCTCTAAAGCTGAAGGTGCAGTCAGCAGGACAGCCAGCAGGGTCCAGCAGGGGGCGCGCACGCCTCGTTTACGGGAGATGGAGGCGCTGAGGCCCTAAAAGTACCCTGAAAACGGGAGTCCTTCCTTGTACCGCTGTCCCGCTCTCGTTTCCGTAGAGCTCCGCACAGTCGTAGGACCAGGCCTCTGTGCCTTTGCACGCGCACTCCCCCTTGAAGCCTGTCCCCACCCCTCTGGGCGCGACCTCTCCTGGAGCTGCTTTTACTGGGTCCTCAGTGGCCTTGCAGGTCTGGCCCTGGACGTGAACTGCACCTTGGTGGATGAAGGGATGGGTGGAAGGAAGCCAGCTACAACCGGCCCTTGTTGTTCTCCAAAAACAAATGACATGAGATGGAAAACCCCTGGGGAGGAAACCATTTTAAAAAATGAAACACTTATTGAGATTTAAAAGACTGACACTGGGCGGACACGTAACAATCTTATTAAATTCTTACCAAACTCTTTGGGGCACTTAATAACCGCCTCATGTGACAGAAGAGATAAGCGAAGCTTAAAGAGGGCAAGTAAATTGCCTGAGGTCACCCGGCAAATAAGTGGAAGAAGCAGGACTGGAACTCTGACCTGTCTTACGCTCTGTTCTGCTGTTACCCAAACGCCGACTCGGAGCTCACCCCCAATCTGAGCCCCCAGCAGCGTCCTCTGGGTGACCCCAAGACGCAGACAAATGTGGACAAGCCCTGAGCAAATGCGCAGCCGCGGTCCGAGTTTCTCACTAGTTCTATCCTGATTCTCGACCCAACTCACGTTCCAGATGAGCCTAATTCTGATCCCACTGATAAAGCTAACATTTAAAAAGTGCTTACTGTGTGCGGAGCACTTTAGATACAATACTTGCGATGCTCTCCTAAACCGAAAATAAGGCAGATTCCCTCCATTTTACAGGAGGGAATCATTTACCAGAGGTTAAATGATTGCCCAGCATCACACAGCTAACAGGTAGCAGAGGCAGGATTCAAACCCAGGGCTGTTTATTTCCACAGCCCAAGCTCTTCACTGTTACTTAAACTCACCTTCTCCCACCCTCCAGCCTCTCCTGGCCAAGCCTCAGCTAGACTCTCATCCTGAAAATGTGATGACCCTGCTCAAGCCCCTGACAACCAGAGTCAAGGCCAAGACCCCAAACCCTGGCTTCACTTTGGTTTTCTGCGATTCTCAGCCAAGGAGGGGAGCGTGGATGAAACCGAAAGGAGCCATTCTCCCCTCTCCGGAAGTGTAGGGGTCCTCAGACCTTTGTCCTACACTGGGCTCTGAATCACACAGATCCTGGCTCTGCCACTGACTCTCTCTGGGTTTGGGAGGGTCCTTTAATAGCGCTAAGCCTTGGTTTCCTCATCTGTAAAATGAGATAATAAGTTTCAAGGTCCCAGGGCTGCCAGGGGGACTCGTGGCACATTTAGGAACTCAGTAGTTCCCTTCCCTTGAACCTCCCAAGGCTGATCTAGAGACCCAACCGTGGGAGACCTCCCATTTACTCATTTATTCATTTGTTTATTCATTCATTCAGCAAGTTTCTGAGCACAGCCGATCCACGCTGGGCTCTGCTGGGAAGAAGGAGGCAGCAGAGAGGGCTGGTTAAGACACTCACTCTGCAGAGAGACCAGCTGTGCCACTTCAGTGCTGTATGACCTTGGCTAAGTCACTCCACCTGTCAGTGCTTCTATTTTTCATCTATAAAATGGGGATAAATGTGGCACCTGATTCCAGGGTTGATGGGAAAACACTAAATCATGCAGATACAGCCTTAGCACAATACCCACACGTAGTAAGAGCTCAGTGGTGGCAGCTATTTGGATATTACTGAGGAGTTTTCAAAGTCTGATGGGAGGAAGAGACAACTAACTAAATGATTGTCATACAGTGGGATCACTGCTAATACCTGGCTGAATGAGGTGCTGGAGGGACACATAGGGAAAGGAGCAACTAGCCCTGCTTGGGGAAATCAGGGAAGGCTGCTGGAGGAGGGGCATTGAAGGATAAGTAGGATTTCACTATAAGGATGAGAGAGGAAAGACATGCCTGGCCAGGGGATCAACAGTTACAGAAGCTCAGAGGCTCTTGGAGACACAAGATCCTCAATGAAGAGCTGGTTGTGTCTGTGGAAGTTTGAAACTCGGAGTTAGAAAGGAAAGTGATGATAAACCGCCTTTTTGGTCTGTCTGGGGGATTGAGACCCTCGCCTGGGGCAACAGGGGGCAGGAGAGAGACAAGACCTAATTTGTCTTTGAGAAAAATGATCCAGGCGGCAGTGTCTAGGAGGATGGAGCAGGAACAGGACAAGGGGAAGAGACCAAGGAGGCTGGCTGCATGTGAGGTGGGACAGAGGGAAGGAAGGGGACGGGGAGGCGTTAGGGGATGGGGGTGCAGTGTTCTGACTCGAAGCTCCCAAGGCCCCTGCCAAGAAGAAGGGGCAGAGGCAGGATGGGGTGAGGGTGGGGGTGACCATGACCCCAGTCAGCCAGGACCAGAGCTGAGGCTGGGGGTTGGGAGGGGGGCCGCCAGCACACTGAACACTGAGTCACTCACTCAGGCTTATTGGATTTCTGAGAAATTGCTCCCCTCCCCCACACGCTGGCAGCTAAGGCGCTCCATTATAGCTGCATCGTCAGTCAGCCTAAGAGTAAAAACCCAAGTACTGAGCAGGGATGGGGCAGTGACAGAGGGGAGGGATACGTAGGATTCTTGGATTCACCCCGTTAGGGCTGGTATTCAAAGATGATCACATAAGGAGGCAGGAAGGGAAAGTGGTTAGGCGAGTGGATGCTGGAGCTGGCCAGCTTGCTTCAAATCCCCTTCCTGCCTTTTGATGGCTGTGTGACCCAGAGCCACTTCTTTAACCTCTCTGAGCCTCAAATAGTGATCATCATAGGGCCTACCTGAGATAGTGGGTTGTTCTGAGGATTATTAAAGCCTGTCAAATGCTAGGCATGTTGCAGTCTCCGGGTGAGGGCTGGGTGTTACCTGTTTGGGTTGAGAGCGGAGTTATCTATCATGCCCCCTCACCCTATCTCAACCCTCAGCTTTCAAAGGCTCCCTGAGATAAAATACAAGTACCTTGCTGGCATCAAGGCCATCCACGATGTGCCCCTCGCCAGCCTGCCCCTGCTCCTACCATGCTGAATTTTCTAGCTGTGCTTCATACACGTTCTGATGGTTCACACCTCCACACCTTTGCCCATGCTGGTCCTTCTGCCGGGAGTGCCCTCACCTAGTCCCCTTGTCTCTCTCATAAACTCCTGTGTCTCCAGTGGACTGCAGCCAAGATAACCTATCCTCTGGTTTGGGGTGCACTTCCTGCCCCCTCCATCCCCTATCAGGAGTGGCTCCCTCAGAGCCCTGGACTAACATTTGCCATTTATAATTTCGTTGTTT